TTGGTTAAACTTTATACTTTAAAATCTAGTTCAACTGACGTTTAATTGTCAAAGTAAAAAAATTTTCAATCCAGTGACGAAAAGATTAATAACTAGACAGACTCAACCCTTCAATATTTGTTGGCGAAATGCAAAGACACCAAGCTCCAAAATAAATTGAAACAGCTAAATTGGAAAAGACTGGAAGTATTTCCTACAATTGTTCGATCGCCCCCAAAAAATCCTTCAGAGAAAGGTGCTATAGTACGAATTTTGCAACATTTTAACAATCTCTTCATTGATAGGAAACAACCAATTGTAACCTGACACTTACAAGATTGCATAAGCAGAAACATTTAGAATGGCCCCAAAACATATGAATGACTGGTAACGCATTGAATTTTCAGATGAAACGTCCTTTTGACTATTTAGTAATACTGTGCAATATTGGTATAAGGGTCAACGGCCAGTTCGTCGCATTCCAAAGGACTGGACAAGTGTCAATGTTTGAGGTTGATTTTGTATTCCAGTCTTTACTGCTTCCAAGAAAATATGACAGTCTCAGTCTATATTGAAAACATAAAAATAAACTTTCTAAGATCAAGAGAATCTGCAGAACAATTGACGGCTTCAGAGGATATTGACACTAAGCATATAAGCCGTTTTTGCTTAAAAGAGTTATTCAAATAACGTCCTATTTCATTCAGTGAATTAGGAATTTGAAAGTGCGTCTTTAAAAAAAAATTATATTGAAGCTATTGATGCAAATTTATTATTCGTGTGACGCGGATTTTTTTTTCTTTGTTTTTTTTAAATAAAGTGTAATTATTAGTTGGAAAATTTTGAACATAGAAGACATGTATTGTGATTATTTTATTTCGTCGTAGAAGTGGTTGTATCACCATTTAAATTTTAGCACGTGTCATACTTTAATATACACGATTGTGTAATATCGGTGACCGCGTGTGTCAAACAAACAAAACAAGAATAGTGCTCCGTAAGGTCGGGTCGGGTCGGGTTTGAAGCAAACTCGAACTCGAATATTTACAGGACCCGAATTCGACTCGACCCGATTATGTTTAACTCGGATTCGACTCGAATTTCAAGGTAATAATAATACCGAAAGTAAAAAATATATTATTGGCTCCAGGAATTCGAAAACAAAAATGCGCAATTTAATCGGTTTTGAGTCTAAAATCATTCAACAGGGACACTCGTTGTTTATTAAAATAATTTCTTTTCTATTTGGATGATTGCGCTCTAAATAACGACATAATTTTGTTGTATTTGAATCATCAATATTGCGGAGCCATGTTTTATGTCCACTAATATTTTTAAAAAAAAAAAATAATACTCAACCTATAATATACCAAATTATACTCTATACGAGTAGTTAAGATAGTTAAGATACAGTATCTAACTTCTCAATGTGTTTTTTGAATTTTATATTCTGGTGGAAGAAGTTTCTCTCCAAAAGCTCTTTGGCAAAAAATTCGCAACGCAATTATTTTCGATTTCCAAGAGAAGAAGCTGTATTATCAGAATTAATAAGGTCGATAGTTTCACTCATTTTAAAAGTTTCGCATTTCACATATCATTTAATAGCATCACCTGATCATTCGGATAAACCGGGTCAAGCAAAATCGAGACCCTAACCCGACGGGTTTTAAGAAATTAGGACTCGTGACATAAAATGATAGTCCCGACTCGAATTTTTTCTCGAGTCGGGTCAAATGACCCGGGTCGATTCGACCGGCTCGGAGCACTAGCCAAGAATTCCGTGTTACGCCATTTGTATAGAAATGTTGATTTGCAAAAAAAAAAAAAAAATTCCTTTTAATTATGTCTTCTGAAGCACAAGAAAATTATTACTTCGATTGGATAGAAAAGGCAATATGTGAAGATTACATCAAATACTATGATTTTAATAAGTTCATAAATAAGGAAGAAATTAGCAGTGGTTCTTATGGAAATATTTCTCGTGCAAACTGGAACGATTCCGATACCGTTATGGTTATAAAATCTTCTTACGTTTCAGATATTAAAGAAATCGTTAATGAGGTATGTATTACAAATATTGCAATTCTTCCTCTTTATTATAAAATATAAATAATTGCTTAATATAATAGATAAAAATGCAACGTGAGGTTGATTATCATGAGAATATTATAAAGTTTTATGGAATATCAAAATTAGAAACGGATAAGTATTGGTTATGGAGTACGCTGATGGTGGAACATTGCAGTCTTATTTAGAAGACAATTTTGAAAAACTTGGATGGAATGAAAAATATAAATTAGCCTATCAACTTGCAAATGCGGTAGCATGCATGCATAACGAAGGAATCATTCATTGTGATTTGGTAATGAATTCATTTAAATAACTTGATTTGATTTTTGATTGTACTATATATACTAAATCATGTGAAATTTATACATATAGCATGCACAAAATATACTTATACATCAGAACAATATAAAACTAGCTGATTTTGGACTATCTCGAAAGATAAATGATGCTTCTAATCATTCAACAGATGTGTTTGGTGTTGTTCCTTACATTGATCCGGAATACCTGAAAAATATTAGAAATAAAAATAAAAGCCAACTCTATTTATTAAATCCAAAGTCTGATGTTTATAGTGTTGGAGTTCTTCTTTGGCAAATTTCAAGTGGGCATCGACCTTTTTATTCCAAAAACGAAGAATATGATGCAAATTTAGTTATAGAAATCATAAAAGGCCGAAGAGAAAAAATTATCGAGGGTACTTCTACCGAGTATAGTGAATTATATAAAGGTAAATATGCATGCATTACGTTTTATGCGTGATTATTTAAATGACAATATATTTTAATTTTTTTAGCATGTTGGAGTGATGATTCAAATGAACGTCCTACCCTTCAACAAGTTGTTGATTCACTAAGAGCAATTATTTCTGAGAATGATAAATTTCATTCTATTATTATTCACACGAAAAATAAAACAGAATCGCAAAATGATAGTCATTCTAATTCAGCATCTTCTAACATGCCATGCATGAATAGTAATAATTCCGAGTTATTTTTAAGTAAATTAATACAAGAATTTAACTTAGATTCAATTAACAATGAAGGACATTTACATATATTACATCAAGCAGAAAAATTATTTTTGAAAGTATTTGATGTAGAAGACAATATAGATACTCTTATTGATAAATTAATCATACTTCTAATTAAAACACATAATGAGGGAAATGGTTTTAATGAAACAAAGAATTTCATTAATCAATGTATATTTCTTTCAAACAAAGATTCAAATGATATTTTTGAATGGCTTAAAGAAAATCAAGTGGAATCAAAACATGTCTTTCTCTTGGGATTTTTCTATTTTAATAATATTAATTTTGAAAAAAATTACAATGAAGCATTTGAAGCATTTAAATTGTTTTCAAGTGCTTCAACAAATAATTATTCGATTGCACAAGTTTATCTTGCATTATGTTATGAGAATGGATATGGAATTAAAAGAAATTATGATTTAGCATTTGATTGGATACAAATAGCCGTTGCAAATAAAAATGTCTTTGGACAACTTAATCTTGCTATTTATTATGAAAATAGTATAGGAACTGAAAAAGATTTAGAAAAAGCTTTTTATTTATATCAAGAAGCGGCAAATAATGAAAATTTAAGTGGATTATATAATTTGGGTAGATGTTATGAATTGGGTAAGGGAATAGAAAAAAATGAAATTAAAGCATTTGAAACATATACATTGTTATCCGAAAAAAACAACATAAATGGAAAATTTAGACTTGGAATTTGTTATAATTTAGGAATTGGAACTGAAATTAATAAAGAAAAAGCATTTAATATATGTAAAGATTTAGCTGAAAAAGGATATAATTATGCACAATGTTTTTTGGGTTATTTATATTATTTTGGTGAAGGAACTAAAAGGAATCTAGAAGAAACTATTTATTGGTACCAAAAGGCAGCAGAAAATGAATATAATGTAGCACAATTTAATCTTGCTCTTACCTATGAAATTGGTGAAGGAAATGAAAAGAATTTAGAAAAGGCAATTTATTGGTATCAAAAAGCTGCTGAAAATAATGATGCAGATGCACAATTCAATCTTGCTCATTTCTATAAAAATGGTGAAGGAATTGAAAAGAATTTAAAAAAGGCATTTTATTGGTATCAAAAAGCTGCTGAAAATGAACATATAAATGCACAATTTAATTTTGCAAATTCATATTGTAATGGTGAAGGAACAGAAAAAAATTTAGAAAAAGCATTTTATTGGTATCAAAAAGCTGCTGAAAATGGACAAATAAATGCACAATTCAATCTTGCAGTTATATATGAAAAT